AGGACTTGTGTCGCTAAAGTTACGTCGGAACGAATTTACGGGAAATCAATTAACAAACGGAGACGTAACAATACCGAAAATTAACAACCGAGCAGATACGCAACAATATACTTGTTTGTTTGTTTATTGATAATTAATCAGAAAGCTACTCAATGGGCTATTTGTGCTCTGCCCTCCACGGGTATCGAAACCCGAATTATAGCGTTGTAAGTCCGCAAACATACCGCTGTGCCTCATTAGAGATAAATTTTCTCAAACTTATTGTGTTTATAAAAAAAAAAAAAGAAGCTTTCAAAGCACAGCTACACAATTGTATTACTTACACATTTATTGTGGACAGGGCGGAAGAAGAAGGCCTTATTTGAACTGAAATTTATGCGTTTTGGAAGGGGTAAACAAAATATTTCTCCAAGGCATGAAGAGTTCTATTGGCAGTGACACTGCATATAACACTAAATTTATTTCATGATTATTGAGAAAACAAACGAATTTTTTTCAATAATTACTCTATTCTGTATTCTAATGCATAACTTTGTGTTATAGTTGTTATTATAAGTGCTATTTACAAATTTCGTTGCAGTGTACGTGGTTAAGTTCTAAATCATGACTTCTACATCTATGAATCGTGCACGAATTACAATTTACGGTGTATGATCTGTTTAAGAACTTTTGTCGTCCTTTTATTAAAGTTTATGTTAGTGGCGCTCTTGGTCAATATGGCGACCTTTATTGTAAGATGTGGTGTAAGTCAATTAGATAATCAGCTCTCTAAAATAGGATTTACTTTTTTTTCTAAAAGTAGCTCTTCAAAGTGTTATCGTATACATACTAGACTTAATAGTTATGCGCTTCAATATAACCAATATGGTGATCCCATCAAAATGCTGCAAAAAATAGAAATCCCGACTACTAGAGAAGGGCTCAAGTCAACAGAAGTCGAGTACAAAATGCTGGCTGCACCTGTTAACCCTGCAGACATAAATATGATTCAGGGTACTTATCCCGTCAAACCTCCTTTACCTGCTATTGGTGGGAACGAAGGTGTTGCCCAAATTGTTAAGGTTTGTTATGGGTTGATATTTTTAGAAATAACGAAAGAGGTTAGCACATCAAAATATTATCACTAACAACATTATATAATATAATGGCTTTAAAGTTTAATTTTGTTTAATATAATATAGCCTAAATATTGTTTAAAACAACTGTAAGTTGTAATAAACTTGTGCACAGTATTAATAGTTAATACTGTGAGTCTGAGTTACTATATTAAAAGGTTTCGTCAGATGGAAATAAGAATTGACGTGTATAGCTGCAGGGGCTGAATGATTATCCTTTTTGTAAATTCCTGTAAAAAATAAAAATTTTTTACTCTAAGAGTTAATCACAGTACCAATATTATTTTTCCATGTGGTGCTCTATTATTGCAAAGCATCTGTTTAGGAGTAATTTTTATATGTAATTCACCTTTATTAAACTGATCTGATTTCATGTAACAAAAGTGCATTTCTCAGGTTATCCTGTAGTTATTTTTTTAAAATGTATACTTACATAAGGGCTCTCACAGCTAGGTTGAATTTTATAAGACTAAAATGTAGAAAGATGGAAAAAGGTCATTTGGTTTATCATGATCACACCTCACTCACCATAACAACCAACCACAACATTTAAAAACCAAAGAAATGCAAGACCATTTGGTCCTTTGAGGTCACCCCTCTCTTTCAAAACAAGCAGCCAGAGTATGAAATCCAGTTGTATCCCTTCACATCCTATCCAAAATAAATGCTTAAATTAATTGAAACTGACAAAACAAACCCAATCATTGGCAAACCACTAGCTTATAAGTAACTGAAATATTTTAATGATTCATAAAATATTTTTATATTTTGGGTTATAAAACAAAACAACAACAAAATGCAAGCATACTTGTGTATTACAAAATAAAAACTTTCTACAAGTTACAGCGTATAATGTATTTCAGAAAGTTTGGTGCTTTTCTATAAATGTTTATGTTAGAGGTGCTCATGGTCAACATGGTGACCTTTATTATGTGATGTGGTGTAAGTCGATTAGATAATCAGCTCTCTAAAATAGATTTACTTTTTTTTCCCTAAAAGTATCTCATAAAAGAATTATTGTATACACATAGACTTGATAATTATGTGCTTCAATATGTAATTTATATTTTTAACAGTTGTCTATTTTATGAAGTTTGAATAAAAATTTCTTTTAATAAAAAAATCTTAAGTTTTTATGTTAATAAATCAGAAACTGACTTCACATCAGTTTAGTTTTTGTCAGTTTAGTAAAATTATAATCTTGTTCAAATTTTATATAATTGTTCTTTTAAAATCATTTCAATTAATTTTTATTCATTGACTACCTTTTTTTAGTTCATCAATTACCAGTAAATGTACAAAAATAATCTTAGTTTAAGTGATAAGTTTGCTTTACTAAAACCTTAGAATCAAAAAAGCGTAGTTCAAATGGTTTTGATAAACTGGATAAACTACTAATGTAAATGTTGTAATAGAAAAAAAAAGTTGATTGATTTTTTTGTGTCAGATAATTTATCTCTTCTCAGAACATCATACTGTTACTTGGTAATTGAGGAATGGACTTTTTTATTTTTTGCAATTCATTATCACTCTAATTTGTTTCATTTAATGAATTTTTGCATCTACAGATTAAAATAGTTTTGTCTTAACTTTTTTCACAATTCAATGCACTAGTAATGTTTTTAATTCATATTCAGTAGGTACTTGTTGCATTGTAGAAGAATTAAATTAAATTAAATCCACCTCTAAGCAAAAGGGACAAAGTCAGTAATTTGTTATGATTGAAATTTCAAATTACGAGACTTAGGGGAAAGTTACTAACTTCTACTTTTCAAAAAATGTATTAGTAGTGAATCTTGAATCTTGACACTATACTGGGTATTATCCATTACCATGATTACTGTATTTGCCCCTTGAAGTGCTCTTGTCCCTTAAACTGCTTCCTCCCCTCCACATATATATTTTTATAAATTGTAAATCCTATTCAACCATGAGATACATATACAGAAAGATAACACAACAATAGTATTAAAAAATAACTGTTTCTGTATATGTAGTGTTATTTGCCATTACTAATGATAAGGTTAAGTATTGAAGTTTTTTGTTGTTTTTTCATGGTAGAAGTCCATGTAGGCTTTCTCCTAAGTTGTGGTATTTTATTGTGGTGTTTCACGTAAATGTTAATGACAGTAGAATTAACTACCATCGGTACCATGATTGGAGATACCTGTAATTTATATTTCTAACAGTGGTTTTCAAATGAGACCCAAAATGGTTTGAAATCCATTACAACTTATGTGTGTGATCCTGTGTGCTAACTTCTTGATCAGAATTTATATTTTTAACGGTCGGCTATTTGATGTTTAAATAAACATTTCTTTCAACAATAAATCTTGAGTTGTTATCTTAATAAATTAGAAACTGATTTCACTTCAGCCTTGATTCCTGTAACACATCTGTATGTCACTGGTACTGCCTCATTCATCTTTAACATTTGCTTGAATTAATTGTCCACATCAGTATATCAGAAAAGAAAATACTTAGCTTTTTTAGCCCAAAAAGCATGCTTCAGTCCCAAGGGAGGTTGGCCTGCTTTGCCATTATTATTTAGTATAAAATGAATGATGTAATAAGTACCCCATGGCCATATGATATGATACTATGATAAAGTGGTTCAGCATATCCCACAACTTCTGGTTGGTTATGCTAATTTTCTGTATGTCCGGGATGCTTAAAGGCATGTATATAGTACATTTATTTATGATACAGTTAATTTGGAATTAATTATGCAAACGCAAACTTATGAACATAAGGAAGACCATAATTCATACTCAAACTAAAACAAGTTAAAATTAAGTGTATTAAGATAGTTTTTACTAGTAGTGAGTAGTATATTTGAAATCAATATTTACTCACAGTATAGTTTGAATAATTGTGATGTATTCTGAAGAGAATTAGTTATTTCATGAAAAATAAAGAGTGGGTTTAAATTTTTACCTTCAAGAGTTATTCGTTGTATAGGGACAATGTTGAAGGTCTAAGTGGTCCCTTGTTGTCCATGTATGAAAAGGTTAATTCTACATACAGTGATGTCCAATACAAATCAGAGTACTCAGATGACATTGCATTTAGTCATCAGTTGGAAATTCACCTTTAAAAATGTTTTGATATTGTTTATTATGCTTTGAGAAACTACATACACCTTTTTAGTAGTAATACCTAAAATATATTGCAAAGATACTATTGTCTGTAATTGCTTGATGACTTAAATAATAAAATCAGTTTTGTTTAAGGAAAGAGTGCTTATGAAGTATCAAATGTAGAATTTTCTTCTGTCTGGGCTTAATTTATAGTTCATTTGCAATAGGTTGGCTCTGATGTTAAAGGTCTACATGTGGGAGCTTGGGTAATACCAGAATCTTCTGGCTGGGGAACATGGAGGACTCAGGGAGTATGTGATCAGAAAGAGTTATTGGCTGTGAGTATGTTATGTATTTTCTTTTATTATTCCTTTCCTATGTGTATGCTTAGATCTGAGTAACAGGTGTAATTAAGTTAGTGAAACTAAGAGATGTTTCAGTTTAAACCCTTATAAAAATATCACAACATACATTGGTTCTTTTCTACTGGAATGTCACAAGGAATTTTCTAGATAACTGTAAGGGCTGTCTTCTCTCTGCTAAACTTTCCATTAACTTTTCCTTTTCAATCTTAAAACAAAATGATGGTTTTTGGATTCTCTTATAATCCTGTGTTCAACTGTCATTCAAGAAGCTTTGCTTGTTGATAGTAAAAATGGGTGTAATGAAGTAAAATGTGTTGTATGCAATTTTCATATTATAAAGTATTGTATAAAAAATGGAAATGCTTAAATTTCCATAACTATTATGAATAACTTTTATACTTGGCATAAAACAATTATTCTTGGTGACTAGAAAAACTTTATCAGAAACGAAAAGGCTCTAAAATACTGTTTATCTTTGCCATTTTGACATTTAAACCATAACTGTACATATTGTTTTTCTTTTAACTTTGTACTTGTGAGTTATCAGCAGCTGTTATATTAAAATATATCTTAGTTCCTAAACGTGTAGTGAAATACAAATATTGAATGAAATAACTTGTTCTTGTGTTTCTAGATTACAAATGACATTCCTGTCCTAAGTGCTGCCACCATTGCGGTAAACCCTTGCTCTGCCTACAGAATGTTGAATGATTTTGGTGAGCTACAGCCAGGGGATACAGTTATTCAGAATGGAGCCAATAGTGGAGTTGGCCAAGCAGTGATTCAGATTGCCCACTATCTTGGCATTCACACCATCAATGTGGTTCGCAACAGAGAAAACCTTCAGGAGTTAAGGGATCAGTTGGTGAAATTAGGAGCAGATTATGTAATTGTAGAAGAGGAACTTAGGTAAGCAACTTGAGCAAAGTTAGTTTTGGTCTGTTGTACATTGTTAATAAATGCAGTCACAATCCATATGTGTCCAGTTATATGTAAACAGCTGTTGTTTAACCCTTTCGAGACGGGTCACAGGTGAACAGCCGTGTCATCTTGTTTGATGACTCGCATGCAAAATTTTGTTGAACTACTATTTCATGAATTTATGTCAATAAGTTTGATATCAAACTGTAGATCATAATTCAAATTTTCCAGCTATACATTACTCAATTTCTCAATTTAAAAGAAAATATTTAAAAAAACATAGATAAACATCGATTTTTGAGTGTCGTGTGATATGTTGAATGCAGCACTGGTTCAAATTAGATGTTTGTGAAGTCAAAATACTAAGTCTACAGTTTCATACAAATTGACAAGCTAGAATATAAAATAAGAAGGTCTTATCTTTTCTATTTGCTAAGATAAATAAATAATAAATCAAACACAGTGGCACCCCACCCACCTCTTTCCATTTTTGGAAATGCTCCCTTATATACACTTACTTCTATATATGACACGAATAACCAATCAGAATGTCCCATTAGTGGTTTTCTCAGCCTTTCTAATGATACTAGCGCCATTTCTTTTTTTTGAACCTGGATTTCAATGACGTAGGTTGTGTTTAT